CCCCCCCCCAGTTCAGGGAAGGACCAGGACAACCCCCTCTGCCCAGGCTCTGCCCCTGCTCCACCCTCTCCCGCCCCCATGTTGTCCCTTCTCCCCAACTGAGGGAGCCTGAGGGACTAGCAGACTGAGGGTCCACCGCCCTCCCTCCCCCCGCACTCACTAGTGTGGGAAGCAGAGCAAGGGACTTCTAGCTGCTTTGCTCTCTCAGATGCCACGTCGCTCCACTTCCTGCCAGGAGCGCAGGCAGTCCCCCCATACCCGGAACAGGGTGGCACAGCTGGGGCCGCCTTGTTCCACTTCCCTTGCTGGTGAGCGCGGGGGCATCGCCCCTCCACTAGCCCTCCCCGGCATTTGTCCCGCCTGCCCACGGCATTGGGAGTGCAAGGGAGTGTGTCGCCCCTGCTATTGCAACCACTTCATCTCAGCCCCTGCATAACGCCGGCCAGCCAATTCGCCTAGAACAGGAGCTCTCAGACCTTGCTGCACTGTGGCCCCCTGCCGGCAACAAACCTAACCACAAGACCCCCCGGGGGGAGCCAAAGTCTGAGCCCCACTGCCCCAGCTGGGGCCTAAACCTGAGCTCCATCCACCAGAGCTGAAGAGGAACCCTCAGCCCCTCTGCCCGGGGGCGAAGGCCTCAAGCTTAGGCCTGGGCAACGGCCTTGGGATTCTGCTTTGGCTCCAGGTCCAGAAAGCCTAACGGGAGCCCTGGTGACCATGTTAAAACAGCGTCGCAGCCAGGGTTGCCAGGCGTCCGGTTTTGAACCGGACAGTCGGGTATTTGAGCTTTCTCTTCAGGAAACAAATTGAGAAAATACCGGAGATAGAAATGTCGGGTATTTTCTAATTAAGTCAGTTTTATTGTTATCAGGAGAATCAGCACGTAGCGGCGTGCTGCCTGGCTGGGACATGCTCACACTGCATGAGAGTGTCTACTACGCAGTAGAGGGGGTGGGGTGGGGCAGGAGCAGGATGGAAACCCCGGGGCCGGACTCGCTCGAACAAATTGAGAAAATACCGGAGATAGAAATGTCGGGTATTTTCTAATTAAGTCAGTTTTATTGTTATCAGGAGAATCAGCACGTAGCGGCGTGCTGCCTGGCTGGGACATGCTCACACTGCATGAGAGTGTCTACTACGCAGTAGAGGGGGTGGGGTGGGGCAGGAGCAGGATGGAAACCCCGGGGCCGGACTCGCTCGTGTGCCCCGCTGGGAGCGTGTGCAGGACGGGCAGCACCTCGGGATCTGCGTGTGCCCGGGCCAGCCCCACTCCCGGCTGGCTGGCTGGCTCCCCCCGGCCAGCCCC